ACACAAACCACTGCCCCTCAGGCTTCTCAGCTCACCTTTGGAGTGGCTGCTGTCCGTGTGATCTCGTATAGATAATTCTTTTAAAGGTTCACTATGCTCAAGATAGATACTGTTTTCTAAGTAAATTGGTTTAAAGATGATGTCAGAGGGTCATTCCAGTTTAAGGTTTAGAAGGTCTTCTCAGGGTGGGAGTTTTGGCAGGGTCATCCAACCTCAATCCTCCAAAACACCTGACGCCTGTGGACCTTTGAAGTTGATCAGGATTCTTTTGTAAAATCTTTGAGCAAATCATTCAGTACGACAGCTAGGTACTGACTTATTATTTTTAAGCTCCAAACGAATGGTCATTTGCCATTTGAGATCATCCTGTTTGCCTCTGATTGCATTAATTTGGGGGGAGGTTGGGTATTGGGTGGGCAAGGCAACAGCTTCTGTTTCTCATAGAAATTTTAATTTTTTTCTTTATTGTTTTTTTGCGAAGGTTTCCATGGGTGAACTACCAAGATGGCAATCTCAACATTTCAATTCCAGTGTTTAGTATCCATGGCAACCATGATGATCCCACGGGGGTAATTATTGTGCCTGTTGGTTTGTCTGTGAGAAGGACTGTTCCCCTTCTTGCCAGCAATTTATAGTTAAGTTGGCTTGGTTCCTGCCTTATTATTTCTTTTTCTAATCTAATCCGGAATAAGCTTTGGTTTATAAGTCATGTTTTTGTTTCATCAGTGCCGAGGTTAACAATTAGCACCAGGAGTAAGCACAGGCTGCTTGGATTTGCATTGTGCCCTACAGTGCACCAGTGCTCTCTCAGCGCATAGACTCACCTGCCGGGAGTGCTTGTTTCGTGAGCAGTTGTAAATCTAGATGAGACCATATTTCCTGTTTGACCGGAAAGTCCAGTTTATTCTTAGTGCCCTGGGGCCGATTTCCACGCAAAGCAGTGCCATGTGACAGTGCACTAGTCCCACCGGGTTTCCTCGGCTGGAATCTTTTCTGAAACCCTTACCAGACTTTCTCCTCCGGAGCCACCTAGGTGGGTTTGAACCGCCCACCTTTTAGTTAGCAGCCAAGCACTTAGCCACTGTACCATAAAAGCTCCTGAAAGGAAGACTAAAGTTTCTAACCCCAAAATACCTTTTAGTCTTGCCTGCTTGCTACCAGAACAGATCACTGTTTAGCTCATCTTTGCCAGCTCTTAGAGGGCAGCTCAGAATCGCAAAGCATTAATTTATGGCTTTTTTGGTTTCATGGTGTTTTAGGAGGTTCACATAGTTCAAGAGCTGAGTTACCAGTTGAAAGATTGACAGTTCCTCTCTACCCAGAGGTGCTCAGTGAAAAAAGGGCTGGCAGTGTTTTCAAAAGGTCGCAGCATGAACCCTTGGAAGCATGGTTGTGTTCTGTAGCACATCGCCATGGGTTGGGATCAACTTGACGGCAGCTGCTTGCTTGCTTGTTTTCATTTTTTTGTTGTTTTTGATGAAATGTTAACTTTGTGATTCCAGTTGTGGGTGATTTGTTAAACTATCAAAAAGGTAACAAATCCTTTTGCTGTTGTAATTTTACCTTTGTCTTTGTAGTTTACATATACAGCATACTTTTAATAAGTTAGCACACAGATTATTTACTTTAGTTGCCTGTTCATAAAATGTGTTGGATTTTTTTTTTTGCACAGGCAGATGCCCTCTGCGCCCTGGATATCTTAAGTTGTGCCGGGTTGATAAATCACTTTGGACGGTCGATGTCTGTGGAGAAGATAGACATTAGCCCAGTTTTGCTTCAGAAAGGAAGCACCAAAATTGCTTTATATGGTTTAGGTAAGATGTCCTTGCTTTTTCATTAGTGTGTACAGTGCCATTTGTGAAATTGCTAGAGTGGTGTGGGGGGAGTAGGGCCTGAGATGGTGTGTGCAGCATAGAACTGTCCTTGGAAGGCCAGGGCACTGACAGCTTGGTTTAAGTGGGCGCGCTGCTGACTCCACGGACAACACTCGAAGCTGGGCAGATGAGCAGTGTGAAGGGAAAGAGGTGCAGGGTAGTCACATGGTCTAAGCTTCCACCAAGAGAGCAGGGCGTTTTGCGTTAAGGAAGTACTCGTGATTAGGAGGTGGGAAAAGAGCAGTGACCTCCCTTTTCCTTTCATGCCCGGGGGTAGGAGCTGCACAGGACAAGGTAATCCCAGGGGCCAGCTGGGGTTTGCTGAGGGCCAGAAGGTGGAAGCACCATTCAAAAACCAGAATGGCAACATGGGAGAATTTGTGACTATAAGGAAGGAGTTCTCCCATGCCTAGTGAAGGCTCGGGTGTGTAGAGAGATAGGGTCCAGTTTCAGTGGAACTTCCAGACTAAGACAGACTAGGAAGAAAGGCCTGGTGATCTACTGACATGTAGTCCATGAAAACCTCATGGAGCACAGTGATCTGATCCCAGAACCGAGCATGGGAATGATGCTGGGCCAGGCAGCGTTGCATTCTGCTGCTTGTGCAACTCGATGGCAGCTAAGAAGGAAGGTAGAGCAGGCTGGGGCCAAGTGAACTTCTGGTGGTGACGGGGGCTTAGTGGATCTGCCCTGAGTCTCAATGGAGGAGGAGCACCCATTATTGGGAGCTCTGATACCTGGTGTAATGGTGTGAATGGCTTAAACACTGTGAAATGTAATTCTGGAGATAACATTGTTTCTGTTTGGGGAAAAAGTAGAGCAAATCAGAGTTTTGCTTAGTGCATTTTTTTTAGTACTTATTAAGAACCACCTAACAGCCAAGCAATGTTTATTCCTTCCAGAACCTGGAGAGTAGCCATTTGTCAAGAAAGATCCTCTATTTCAAATACATTTCTATCAGTAAAAGGAAATACGCTGAGATGCACAGCATTTAAAACCTAACTAATGCATCTGTTTGAAAATCCAAGTAAAAGAACGATTTTAAAATAATTTTTGATATCCATTTCAGGCTCCATTCCAGATGAAAGGCTCTATCGAATGTTTGTCAATAAAAAAGTAACTATGTTGAGACCCAAAGAAGATGAGAACTCTTGGTTTAACTTATTTGTGATTCATCAGAACAGGTAAAAATATTCTCTCTAAAATGCTGAGCCCAAGTACTGTGGAGCCAAAGTTCCACGAACCTTGGTGGACCATTCCCAAAATTACTTCTTTTGAATCAGTTCCGAATCACGTGGACCATACGTGTGTAAGTGTAGAACTGAGCTCCATGGTTTTCAATGGCTGAGTTTTGTGAAATAGTTTGCCAGGCCTTTCTTGCAATGCATTTCTAGGTGGGCTTAAATTTCCAACCTTTGATGTCAGCTGAGTGCATTGACTACACCGCCGAAAGCCTTCTTAAGGATGTGGGTGGAGGTGAGGGCGAGGGCTTCCAAAACTTTGTAAGAAAATTCTATTATCTTTTAATTCCACTTTTCCACACACTTCCTGAAGCCCACTGGTGTGTGCATATGTGTGTGCATTTGTTCATCAAATAATGCTTAGTATTACCGTCAGGCCGGCCGCCCCCCACTAGAGCAGGGATGGGGTTCACTGCTGTGCTCCATAGCAGTGTCTGGGAGAGGCCAGGCACACAGCAGATACTTGTTGAACCAGTAAGTGAACGTTTGTTCAGATTAAGTAGATGTAACGTTCTCTTCGCCTTTCCTTGGGTTTTCACACACTTTGATTAATAACTACTAACCTTGGTGAAAAGCCAGCATTTGCAGATCACTTACTCATCCAGGATCTCATGTAGTATTGAACTCTTCTCTCATGTATCAGGAGCTCTGGTGGGGCTGTTGGGTAAACATTGGACTGCTAACCTGAAGGTTTGAGGTTCAAGCCAGCAACTACTCCTGCCCTCTGCTCCTGTGAACATTTGCACCCTCGAAAACCCTGAACAGGGTCACTAAGAGTCAGAATCAACTCGATGGCAGTCGTTTTACCCATTACATAGATTAATATTTTTACACCTATTGTTTTATTTATTTTCCCTCCCATTTTTTAATAATTAATGAAAGGCAGAGTTGATGTTAAGACTGACCATTTGTTTTTGTATTTTTGCTTTAATGTCACTAAGCTTAGTCTTCGGAGCCCTGGCAGTGGTGCTGGGCAGGTGTTGGAATGCTAACCACAAGTTTGGCAAGTACCCGCAACTCCGGGTGGGGAATGAAACCGCCTCAGAACGCCCACAGGGCTGCTCGGAGTCAAGATCGACTTCATGGCAGTGTGCGCTTCAGACTAGCTCAGTGGTTCTCGCCCTGCCATACAGGTCCTCATGGGGGGGGAACCCCACACCATAACATTATTTTCCTTGCTACTTCATCACTGTAATTTTGCTACTGTGATGAATCGGGCAACCCCTCCGAAAGAGTCGTTTGATCCCCAAGGGGTCAGGACCCACAGGTTGAGAACCGCTGGATTAGTTTAACTCACGTTCAATTTCTGTAGAGTCAGGTTTCCATGTTCTTACTAGTGCTTTACTGACCTTCCCAGAGCAAGCAGCCTCGCTCTGTAAAGCCTTTCCTGATCTGCCCTCTTCTGGGGCCCCAGTGAGTCAATCCCAGCTCATAATGGCTTTATAGAACATGGTAGAATTGCCCCCATGGAGTTTCCGAGGTGGTAAATCTTTATGGGAGCAGATAGCCTCATTTTACTCCCCAAAAGTGGATTTAAACCTCCGACTTTTCAAATAGCAGCTTAAAGTTTAACCCAGCACACCACCAGGGCCCTTGCCCCTAGGATTAGCAGGGCATTCTGGGCATGTGACATTGCTTTTCTTATTGGCATCCTGCACGTGTACAAACCTCCGGAGGACAGAAAGTAGGTGTTCCCAATCCCCTGTGCAGTTCTGGTCACCTAGAAGGGGCACTGTAAAGTTAAGTAAATGGATAAGGAAATATCGGTATAGATTGATTTCATTCAACATCTTTGGGTACTTACTGTATATACTCGAGTATAAGTTGACCCGAATATCACCCGAGGCACCTAATTTTACCACCAAAACTGCATAAGAAATGTGCTGAGAAACTCTGCTTATAGTTGGGTATATACGGTACATTCCTTGTTTTGTTTTTTATCCTCGAAACAGGAGTAAACACGGAAGCACTAACTTCATTCCGGAGCAGTTTCTGGACGACTTCATTGATCTTGTTATCTGGGGCCATGAGCATGAGTGTAAAATCGCCCCAACCAAAAACGAGCAGCAGCTCTTCTACGTGTCCCAGCCTGGAAGTTCTGTGGTCACCTCCCTCTCCCCAGGGGAGGCTGTGAAGAAGTGAGTCCCTGCTAGCCACGCCCACCCAACCCGCTGTCAGTGTCTCCCGACCAGCCTAGGTTCAGGTCGCTGATGGTGTTTATTTATTTAGGAAGGTAGCCTTACTAGTTTACCAGATGAGGAGCTCTTTTTATTGTGACTCGTTTGGTTACCCGTTAGGCAAATTCAAGAGTAACATTTTTGTGAATTAAATTTCAAGTTAGAGTGTTGTAGATAGTAACTAATTTTACAAAGTCCATTTCTGAACAAATTCACCTGGAACCATTTCTGTGTAACTTTTCTCATGAGAAATATCAAAACTAAACTCACCTAAAAAAATGTGATAGGGAGATTACATAAAGTAGTTAAGAGTGATAGGCTCAATATTTAGAATGTTTTCCTTTGTGTCCTCTCAAGTTCTGATGATAATGATATTAACGGGTGTAAAGAATATGGTAGTAGCATATGATAGTAGTAGGGTTGGCTTGTCTTCATCGCTCCTCTACTCATGCAGTATACATGTGCATGTATGTGTACAAGTGTATATATACGTATAATAGTGATGTGAAAATTTTCTGGATGCTATCATCTTAGCCCAGATAACATTATAGTATGCTTTTTTTTAATAACCTGTCTCCTTTTATTAGTCTGCATATTTATCCAGGCAGGAAAAAGGAGAAATTAGTGCATTTTTATTCTGGGAAAGCAAAATGCTTAACATGCTCCCTACCTTGTGGCATACAACCTGAAGATTAAATTGTCGAGAACACTTAACGGATGTGGTTTTTATGAAGGCATCGCGTGTGGAAACTGAGCCCATAAATATGGTCGCTGTGATTCACACACTTTCGGAGGCAATGTATGGTCCAACAAAGCTTTCTTTTCCTTGTCGTCTCAGACATGTCGGCTTGCTGCGCATTAAGGGGAGGAAGATGAATATGCAGAAAATTCCTCTCCACACAGTGAGACAATTTTTTATGGAAGATGTGGTTCTGGGTAATCATCCAGACCTTTTTAACCCAGATAATCCTAAAGTCATTCAAGCCATCCAGAGCTTCTGTTTGGAGAAGGTAATTTACGCCCTGTGCATGTGAGTCCCTCCTGATTGCCGTGAGGATAAGACCCATGCCTCACTTGTTCTCTCAGCGTAGGACCTAGGACCTGGCAAAGAGTACGTGTGCCAGAAATGCAGTAGATAGAGTTGACGTAGTGCATCTTAATCTTTTTTTTTTTTAATCATTTTATCGGGGGCTCGTACAACTCATCACAATCCATCCATCCATTGTGTCAAGCACTTTTGTACATTTGTTGCCATTATCATTCTCAAAACATTTGGTTTATACTTGAGCCCTTGGTATCAGCTCCTCATTTCCCCCTCCCTCTCTACCCCCCATGAACCCTTGATAATTTATAAACTATTATTATTTTGTTATGTCTTGCACTGTCTTACATATCCCTGTACCCCCTTTTCTGTTGTCTGTCCCCCAGGGAGGGAGTTATATGTAGATCCTTGTCATCGGTTCCCACTTTCTACCCCACCTTCCCTCCACCCTCCTGGTATCGTCACTTTCACCACTGGTCCTGAGGGGTTCATCTGTCCTGGATTCCCTGTGTTTCCACTTCCTATCTGTACCAGTGTACATCTTCTGGTCTAGCTGGATTTGTCAGGTAGAATTGGGATCATGATAGTGGGGGGGAGGAATTGCATCTTAATTTATAGATCCATGCTGTCTAATATCGTATCTGCACTAGCACATGTAACTATTGAGTTAACTAAGGTTAAATTAAACATTTAATCATGTGCTAGCTATGTTTCAAGTGAATAATGGGCACATATGGTGAATGGAAAACCAGATTGGATACTGCACATGGAAAGCATTTCTGTCATCTTAGGAGTTTCTGTTGGAGAGCATTGTTCTAGATAGTTCAAAAGACAAGCTTATGCAATCTTAGAACAAGAAGAGAGCCAAGCAATCTTAGCATCTCCCTTAGTACTGGAATCCTTCACACACACCTGGGTGAACAGTGACTGGACCCTGTCAGCTGGCTCGTTTTAAAACGGAACAACTCCTGAGAAGTGTCTTGTGTGTGAGCTAAACTCCGGTTCCTTGCACCTTGGTTCTGTCCTCAGAACACTGATAACACGTTTTTATCATTTATCCTGACGACAGCTTCAGATACTTGAAAACAGCGGTCTCACTTTCTTTTATCTTGAACGTCTCTTAATAAGATCTTTTCTTTAGAGACCTGCAGATACTCTGGTCAGTTTGATTTGGACATGTGATAAAAAAAAATATTTATTTGCTCTTCAGTGAATAAAATGCGGGAGCCGTATTGGAGCACAAGCATAGATTTTGCGCAGGAGTCAAGTTCTTTCCTGAACAATAATTTTAGTGATTGAACCGTTCTTAAGAACTTTGATGAAAGAAAATCATTAAGGAATGATGTTGGCGGGAGCATTCAAAGCAGGTTTATTTTTAAATGAATGAGAAAATAGCAATGATCATTTAGGAAGGTGTCTGCAGATCATAAGCAGGGATATTTGCTTCTTAGTAGATAACTGAAGCTAAAGTAAATATTTGTTTTTTTAACCTTTATCTAATTTTATTTGAGGTTGAAGAAATGCTTGAGACTGCAGAACGGGAACGTCTAGGAAATTCTCAGCATCCCGAGAAGCCTCTTATACGCCTGCGAGTAAGCCCTGAAATAAAGTGAACTGTCAGTAATTGTGTAACATAAGCAAAATATGTTGTTAAGTAACCGTGAGTTGATTCTGAGTCATGGCAACCTTATGCACAAGAGAGCAAAGCACCGCCTAGTCCTGTGTCGTTGGAATGCTTGGGCCCGTTGTTTAGGAATCCCATGTGAGTTAGACATTATTTCAAAGGACTCACTCTCACTGCCAGCTCATTGATTCTGATTCATAGCAACCCTATATAGGGTTTCTGAGAGTGTAAATCTCCACCTCATCTTTCTTCTGACTGGTGGGTTTGAACCACCTACCTTATAGTTAACATCCCACCACATAAGCCACTGTGCCATTGGGGCTCCTTTTTTCAAAATACTGTATACCCGTATATAATTTCTATGGATTTTCAAAAAAGTAGTAACCCACCCATTTCCAGGTTTACAGGAAAAAGAAACAATTCAGCTCTCTGGGGTTTCCAACATTATAAACCTTTGAGATAGCAGACACCCTCATCTTTCTCCAGCTGAGCGGCGATTGAGCTTGAACCACTAGCATTACTGTTGCAGCCTACTGACTAAC